CCGCATGGGGAAGAAACCGTATCAATGCATGGAGTGTGGAAAAAGTTTCCATGAAAATAAGCATCTTACTATTCATAAAAGAATTCACACAGGGGAGAAACCATACAAGTGCATGGAGTGTGGAAAGAGTTTCCGTGAAAATAAGCGTTTTACTATTCATAAAAGAATTCACACAGGGGAGAAACCATACAAGTGTGTGGAGTGTGGAAAGAGTTTCCGTGAAAAAAGATGTCTTACTATTCATAAGAGAATTCACACGGAGAAACCATACATGTGTGTGGAGTGTGGGAAAAATTTCTGTGACAATGGATCTCTTACTTCCCATATCAGAATCCACTTGGGAGAGAAACCATATAAATGCATGGAGTGTGGCAAGAGCTTCAGAAGAAGGAGTCACCTCATTTCCCATAACACAATCCACACAGGGGAGAAGCCATATAAATGCAAGGACTGTGGAAAGAGCTTCCGTGGAAATACGTCTCTTATTATTCATAAAAGGATCCATACAGGGGAGAAGCCATATAAATGCAAGGACTGTGGAAAGAGCTTCCGTGAAAATAAATCTCTTACTATTCATAAAAAAACCCACACAGGGGAGAAACCATATCAATGCCTGGAGTGTGGAAGCAGCTTTTGGAGGAGCAGTTCCCTTTCTTTCCATAAGAGTATTCACACAGGGGAGAAACCATACAAGTGTGTGGAGTGTGGAAAGAGTTTCTCTGAAAATAGGTGTCTTACTATTCATAAGAGAATTCACACTGGGGAGAAACCATACAAGTGTGTGGAGTGTGGAAAGAGTTTCCGTGAAAACAGGTGTCTTACTGTTCATAAGAGAATTCACACAGGAGAGAAACCATGCAAGTGTTTGGAATGTGGAAAGAGTTTCCGTGACAAGGGATCTCTTGCTTCCCATATCAGAATGCACTTGGGAGAGAAACCGTATAAATGCATGGAGTGTGGCAAAAGCTTCAATAGCAGGAGTCAGCTTGTTTCCCATAACACAATCCACACAGGGGAAAAGCCGTATAAATGCAAGGACTGTGGCAAAAGCTTCCGTGGAAATTCGTCTCTTATTATTCATAAAAGGATCCATACAGGGGAGAAGCCATATAAATGCAAGGACTGTGGAAAGAGCTTCCGTGAAAATAAGTCTCTTACTATTCATAAAAGAACCCACACAGGGGAGAAACCATACAAGTGT